CCTCTCCGGCACTCTGCGGCAAATCTCCGACACTCTCCGGCACTCTCCCGCAACTCTTTTGCACTCTCCGGCAATCTCCGGCACTCTGCGGCAACTCTCCGGCACTCTGCGGCACTCTCCGACACTCTTCGGCACTCTGCGGCAACTCTCCGGCACTCTGCGGCACTCTCCGGCACGATGCGGTAACTCTTTTGCACTCTCCGGCACTCTCCGGCACTGTCCGGCACTCTCCGGTCCCCTCCGGTCCTCTCCGGCTCTCTCCGGCACTCTGCGGCAACTCTTCGACACTCTCCGGCCTTCTCCGGCACTTTGCGGCAACTCTCTGACACTCTCCGGCACTCTGTGGCAACTCTCCGGCACTGTACGGCCTTCGATAAGGCTCTAAATCACTTGAAAAACGCGCGTAAACAATCGATAATGCTCGAAAACGCTCGATGAACGCTCGATAATGCTCCAAAAACGCGTGAAAACACTCTAGACACACTCGGAAATGGTTGAAAAACGCTCGGTAACGCTCAAAAACGGTCTAAAACGCTCGATGACACTCGAAAACGCTCTGAAAATGCGTAAAAACGCTCGAAAACGCTCTGAAAATGCGTGAAAACGCTCGAAAACGCTCTGAAAATGCGTGAAAACGCTCGAAAACGCTCTGAAAATGATCGAGAAACGCTCGAAAACTGTCGAAAAACGCTCGATAACGCTAGTAGGGAAATGTAAAAATCATACGCGAAAAGACTCGGCTTATATCCACAGTTAGGTAAGCCTCGGGAGGATTTTGCGCAGTATTCGACTCTCACGCGTACTCGTCGAGTGTAGCGCCGAACGCACATATATTCAACATCTCTACCGTAGCTTGGCGCTTGGCTGGTTGGGACGCGCGAAGATTTCTAGGAGCGATCGCACTCACGCAGATTCGCTGCATGAGAATTCCATACACGACACCGACGCGTGCCCCAAAGCTCCGCACACGTCGACTTTGAGGCAACAATGTACTTAATAGTAGTAGATAAGTAGATAAAGTCAAATGGAGTGTCACGAATGTTCTTCCCTTACCATCGAAAGCGAGCAGTGTTAGTAAGCGTAGGTAAGCCACCACCGTCAACTGCCGCATGGTATTACCATCACGAGTACGTGAGGCGCCAACGGCGACTGGTAGATGGTACCGCCATCGCAAGTGCACGAGCTCCTATCAGAAATTCGTTGCGCCGCCCTTGGGGGCAAAAAACGGTGAAAGCTAACGTACGAAACCAGAGGGCAGCACATGATGTGATCGCACTATCCTGCCCGTGAGCAGTCTCTCAACTCATCTCTGCTCATCTCTGGTGAATCTAGTTCCACTTTTGATGATTTCTCCTACCTTCTAAATCGTGACGGTGGCAACACTGCATTGAAGTGTCGCACGATGTAAACGAATTTAAACGCTGCTGTGACTTGTGGGGTTATGTTTACGAAACGTTCTGAGCAGAGATAAGTAACTGCATATTTATTTAAGAATTTATTTTTTACGGAGACCAATGCTAAGTACTGCTGGAAAGAATGCTTGCACTTAAAGAATATGGTAGTAGCGATGAAAATGGAGATTCTGGAGAGGAATCAAAAACTGAAGAGAAGGAAGTTAGTGAGGTTAGGAAGGAGACATCGAATAAGGATGAGCTTGCTAATAGCGAACCAGCTCCCGGAAACCCCGTAGTATCTCTTAAATTACAAATCTGCTCTGCACCTGAAGTTGTACCTACGGTAAGAAGTGCATCATAAATTACTACAACTTTTCTATTTTGTAAATTTACTTATCGGGGTGACTATTATTTTAAGGGGACCGAGCTGTGCGTTAAACATGTTGATTCTACAGTGAGCGAAATATTGCACAATCCAAAGTTCGAAGAGCTTTTTGCACCCGATGTGGGACCAGAAAATCCTTTTAAAACACAGCAACAGAGAGCGATAAAAAATATGCTTTCTGGTTATGTAGAAAAAGCTCATATCAGTGAATTTCAGTTTGAAAATCAAAGAAGGACATTTGCAAGTTATGGTTAGTATGAGTTAAGTTTTGTGTTCACTAGCGTAGACTTAGTAAATTCTATAGTATAATTATTATAGGATATGCACTGGATCCTACCGTTGATGGCAGTGCAGAAGAAGGGAAAACAATAATAGGTGCGAAGGAAGCAGCAGAGGAATCGGGAGGAAAAACTGTATTTGAGAATACAACATTAAGAGACGCAGATAAACGGAAAAGACACAGGAATAACGATCCAGGTGACATCGAAGGATTCTTAGGCCCTTGGGGTGGATACGTGGATGAACAACGAGTTGTAAAGCCTACAGATGAAGAAGCTGCAGAACTGGAAGAAATTTTAGCAAAAAGAAATAAGAGAGGCAAACAAACCGAGGAGAAGCCTGTAGAGGAAAAGACAGTATTGCACAGTAAGAGCATTCTTTGTTAAATATTAAATAACAATGAATCATAAATATCTCTACAAAAATTTGTTGACCGTATTACATTTTTTTTTCAGTCAAGGACAGCATGGATTATCAGGGACGATCGTTTCTTCATGCTCCTCAAGATGTTGGGGTGAATTTAAGATCCGAATCACCACCAGAACGTTGTTTTCTCCCCAAAGCCCAGATTCATACATGGGAAGGTCATACAAAGGGTATATCACAAATTCGCTGGTTTCCGCGAACTGCACACTTGTTGCTTTCTTGTAGTATGGATTGTAGGGTTAAGGTAATTTAAAGTTACCTTATAAAACGCGCGGTAACTTGAATTTTATATGCATGGTTAATCATTTTTTTTCCCCAGTTGTGGGAAGTTTTTAAGGATCGAAGATGTGTACGTACTTACTACGGTCATCGTCAGGCTGTGCGAGACATTGGCTTCGATAACGATGGTAAAAGGTTCCTTTCAGCAGGCTATGATCGATATGTAAAATTATGGGACACTGAAACTGGGGCTTGTATAAGTCGCTTTACCAGTCGGAAGATTCCTTACTGTGCAAAGTTTAATCCAGATCCGGATAAGCAACATCTCTTTGTAGCTGGCACCAGTGACAAGAAAATTATTTGCGTGAGTAGAGTTACCAAGTTTACATATTTTATAGTTTAAAGTAACTATAAAAAAAATTAATGAATTACCATACATACTTATTTTTTGTTTCAGTGGGACATCAGATCTGGTGAAATAACGCAAGAGTACGACAGACATTTAGGTGCTGTTAATACGATTACTTTTGTCGACGAAAATCGAAGATTTGTCACAACTTCAGATGATAAGAGTCTTCGAGTTTGGGAATGGTAAATAATTAAATATTTACTGTTATTCCCTATGCTATTTAATACGTGCACAGCAAATAATTTGTCTTATCTTTTAACAGGGATATTCCAGTCGATATGAAATATATCGCTGATCCATCGATGCATTCGATGCCTGCAGTTACACCCTCACCTAATCAGAAGTGGCTTGCCTGTCAGAGCATGGATAACAAAATCGTCATATTCTCAGCTCTCAATAGATTTAAGATGAATCGTAAGAAAACATTCACAGGACATATGGTTGCTGGTTATGCCTGCGGGCTTGACTTCTCTCCTGATATGAGGTACATAATCCCAGACACTTTAGAAAGGAATAATTACATTTTCTTTGCCTTCGAATTGTCCAATTAATCGCCAAATTCTGGACATTCCTTTTAGCTATCTCGTGTCTGGAGATGCTGATGGTAAATGCTATGTATGGGATTGGAAAACCACGAAATTGTACAAAAAGTGGAAAGCACACGACGGAGTCTGCATCGCTGTCTTGTGGCATCCTCACGAGCCCTCGAGACTGGCAACTGCCGGTTGGGATGGAAAAATAAAATACTGGGATTAATTCTCCATTGTACTTATTGGAACACCTCTGCATCGGCTGATCCCACTTTACTGTACATAGAAAAACTAACGAATTAGTATTACCATTTTTTTACAAAATAAACGATTAAGTACAGACATCGGAGTGGATCGACGAAGGATATATATTTTTTACTAAACTTTATATAAAATATACAAATCTCGTTTTCAAGTTTATGCGTTATATATTAATCGTAAATCTCTCGAGATGTGGAACATAATGCAAGATTTTAATAAGGACCCTTTGAAACCATTTTCGTTACTGTGCAGAAAAATCAATAAGGGGTGTTGGGATTCTCCACTGGCGCTCTGCTGCGCCGTCGTAGTTTACTATAGAACGTACACACTGCCGAGTTATCACGCACCGATGTTTCCGTCGAGTGCGTGATTTTTCGAGCATTTACCGTGCTGTTACAGATTTGCATCTTTCGACTTCTGTCAAAGCGTGTGAAGAATTAATTTAGAGATCTAATAAGATGGGGATCAGCTGATGTTTTTCCAACGTTGCGTCTGAGTGAGGGATCAGTTACACTGGAACGTTTCAATTAAGGCGAAGGTAAACAAGATCTTCCTTTTAAAAAGTGCGACGTGGGAATTGTATGGTTTTAATCGGCATTTCTGGGATTATTAGCAATGAAGCAATCGCAGTGGCCATGCATGTGGATCTTGCGAAGGGCTTAAAATTCCATTCTGATTTATTTAATGGACATGTGCTGGAAAAAAAAGCTGTTATTAGTTAGGCGTCAATCTAAATCTCTGCATTTTTGGCATCGGCAGGGTTAAAGAGAAGAAGCAACCATGGGGAAACTGGACGGTGCAAGTTTAGGGTACTCTTATCATCTTCCTTCCGCTGGATGGAATCTCAGGGTTAGAAATGCCCTCTCACAGTTCAGCGATCTTTTCAGTGAGTTCAACAAGTACATCGCACCTGCTTATCATCATGATCGGTGTGAAAGGTGGGTTATTTATTTACAAATCGGATGAACATTTTCTATATGAAATCTTCTTACTTTATATTTTTCCCGGACCAGGTCCGTTCAGATGCGGTTGTATTCTATGCATAAACGGGAATTTCTTATGGCTTTCATGGCATTCTTTGCATTCCTCGGAGTGGCAGTATTCATTGGACTTGCCGGTAAGTATTGTTTCAAAGTATATTTTTTAAATATTGTATATAATTATCGAATACTTTCTAACCCTTAATTTTAGACTATTTTTAATACCTTGATGGGATGTAAAAATACAGTAATTTTGAATGCAGGTCCACCGATCACCTCGACTACTGAACAGCGAGCTCACCTGAACGGCAGCGAAATGGCAACTGGGCCTTTCATAATGAAGACACCTGCACTTTCGATATATAGTCAGCAATTATGGGTCATCGCTAAATTGTCCACATCAAATAACGATGGTATGTTAATTAAACCGAGACACATTTAAGGAAAGGAGGTACCACTGCTTATTCAGTTAAAAAATGTTGAATCAGATTTGATAATAATTTACAAATGTTCATTTAGACGAGAGATATGACAAGAGTTTCCAAGTCAGTGTCTCCATAGACGGTATCGATCCTGATCGTAAGCTAATTGCTGTTTTGGCTCCAGAAGTTGGACATAACAGGTGAGAGCATAAATATGGGACAATCATTACGATTTTATCTGAAACTTGAAGGAGTATATTATGGTTATTGATTTCAGGACGCGACATTTAAAATGTGAAAGACAGTCCTGCGAAGAATTCATGGTGGTCCATCTAGGTTATCTTGAATATACCAACTACATAATTACGGTTCACTTTCATGGTCTCGAAAGTTTCCATCAACGATATTATATCAGGAACCTGACGTTCTATGTCAGTAAGCACTGCTTCCTAGAAACTCATAAAGCTCTCTTGAAGGCTCTTCGATAATTCCCATGCTTTCATGTTTCCATGCTGCGTTGACAGTTCAAGAATTACAATCCAGCGTTCACGCAAATCGAAATCTGGTTCAGGCTTATCTTCCTGCTGGCGACGTTCATGGTGACGGTAATTTATACAAATTAGAGAATTATTATTTAATATCTCACTTTTATTGTTCACTGCCCCTTTAATGTTATGAGATGTATTATTTTCTTTGCAGTGTTGGTTCGGTCTCTCCCTGAGGAAATATCCAGTGCACGACTGGTCGATCGAGCAGAAATGGATATCTATCCTTTTGCCTCTCCTGATCCTGTACAATAGTGAGTCTAAAATACATATTGATGACATTATTTAGTACCTGCGTCAAGTTTCATCACTAAAGAGATACTTTATCTTTCTTTCCAGATCCATTGTTTCCTATGACGTTTTTAGTGAACTCCTGGGTGCCAGGAATGTTGGATGCTATTTTACAGACTACGTTCCTCTGTGCAATTCTTATGTTCTGGTTGTGCGTCTATCATGGCCTCCGACAGGTAAATGATTTTTAATTTCAAATTTAATTAGACTTGTAAATTTTACTTGTACCATTTAGAATGAAAGGCGGCTGGTCACCTTTTATCTACCGAAATTACTAGTCGTGGGTATGCTCTGGGGAGCTGCGTTGACTTTGGCTACGTGGCTTCGATGTACCGAATTGGAGGATCCCACTTACAACTACGTCCTCGACACATCCAACTATTACGTGAGTTTCACTTTAATTAACTCGTACGACGCGTTTATTTGGATTAAAAAATTACAAACGTAATAATAACATTATTAACAAAAGTAACAACGGTAGAGAGGAAGAAACCTCAGCGATACCTTACAACAATCTATGACAATAACTGCAGCAATCCGACAGTATCACGCCTAAAGTACTTAAACGTACCTCTTCAAGTACTTCAACGTGTTCGTCTCTTTTAATCACTCTACATGAAGCAGCCTTGCGTCGTTTCGAAGACTACGTAACAGAAGAACCATTAGCAGACTTGACACTCCGAGTTGTACGGCCAGTCGCAAAGTTTGAGTCGAGAGTTGAAGTAAAGTCCAGTTGGGCACTTCTGTAAAATCGGCAGACCCCAATCGCACTGATAAAATCGATCGCAGAGACGAGGATGCGGCAAGAATTGGGTCTGTCGCGTGTAATGGAGTGGACAACGAGGTTCCGGTCGTGGACAGCCGATCCAGGAGTCGTCGCAATTCGCCTTCCAAGGCCAATTGCAGATACTCAGCGCAGGATTGAAGTGCAGCCCTGTGGGGCACTCGAACAGGATCGCCGAGCCCCAGTCGCATTTATAAAACTGGAAAATGAGACACATGATTATCATGTCAAGGAATTGACATTACTCTTTATCTTACCAAGCTGCAATTATGGGGGTGAGGTAGAAAAATCGTGTCCTTTGAGTAAGGATGCACCGGGCAAGGACCTGCATCCTGGAATTCAAACCTGTGATGGCCAATCATCGGACCGGCGTTCTTGATTCTGACCACTCCCACGTGCTGATCGGCACATTTATGTTCGAGGGAATTAATGGAAGTCTCATCATCGCATGATGATGCTTCCCAATCACCGAACGGATTGCTGTGCGATAATTCAACCTTGCAGTGCAGTCTTTGGGGCTTAAATCTACTGAATACTGCGGAATCCGCGTGGATGTGAGATGGGTACTCGATGGAATGAAAACTGGAGCCATTCAAAGGTGCACCGAGGACGAAGATGATAATTGCTGAAATTTTGTACAATGCAGTCCGTGTTAATAATAATTTGTCGACGGGTGGGAATGTATGCACTCACCGAAGGACCTCATATCAAGGGAAGATGTGCAGCTGGAGATGATGTTAACGTTCCTGCACTGTGTGATGATCTGTGAACACTGAGTGACAACCTCGTGGTCTCCACCTTCGACTCCGATGCAGGGTCCATTGCACCTGCATTCGTTTCATAGTATTCTGCGGTGTACTGCAATTAAAACCGGTAGAAATGGCGCGAAGCCGATACTTTACGACCGGTTTGTCTCCTCTGTCGATCAATCGAAAGTCCAGCAGAAATTGAATCTTGCTGAAGAGGAAAAATGAGACTGCATTTGCACTCGACGAGGTCGATGCCGGGAAAGCCGACGTGAATGGGCTCGATTTCATCTGCCAAAGCAAATGTGAAACCCATCTTAATGGGAACGTGATATCATTGAGTGTTTTTACCGGAATGTGTAACCTGAGAATCGCTGACGTTTCTTAGCTCTCCATTGTAGGTGTTGATATGTTCTGTGTGAATGTTTTTTATTCTTTAGGATTTTAGACTACTGAAAAGTTAAGGGATAAACGAGTTAGAGGAAAATCTAATAGTGGTTTATTTTTCATTTTTAGGGATTCAAAGTGTTCTTCTTCACGGTGGGTGGCATCTACATCGCATATCTTTTGCTGCTAATACTGAGAGCGTACAGTGAGCTGAGGTCCATGCCTTATTTTGGTAAATCAGTTTGTGTAAATTAGATTTTGTATCTCGAATGACGTCGTCATGGGAGAATCAAATTATTTTTTACAGATCTGAGGTTGCGGTTTTTAACTTTGCTCGCTGCAATAGTTGCCGGGGTATGCTCTCTGGTCACTGCAAGGAAGTTCGGTGCTGGAGTTCTCGAAGACAGCTTCGCTTCCCGTCTTTCAACTTATTATCGTACTTCGGCACAGTTCATGGCCCTTTATGGTATTCTTAATTTTTATCTGTTCACCATGGCTTATGTTTATGCACCTGCTGTCGAACAAGTTTACGGCCAACGTGAGTAATCGGTGTAATTGAGGTTATGGGGTGCAAACGGTGTAATTTATTATACAATTTTACAGACTCCTCGATAACAAAGGATAACCCTACTTTTTCAATGATCAATGATTCGGACGAGGAGGTAATCTATGGATCGGACGAGGACAGTCGGCGGCCTTTAACTCGTGCACCAAGAAACACAGATGACAGCGATTGAGAACTCCGTAGCCTTCTAGTCTCACCGATTGGTTCGAGCAATGCTGACTCCCAACGATGAATCAGTTTTCAATTTTGTTGAAAATTTAATTACGACAAGACTGGATCTGGGTAAGATCTAGTCCAGGTCTTGTTTAAATGATACCATATTTATGGTAATGGAGGTGCGCACTGTACTATATGCAACACTGAATAGTGTTCAACTATTAAACAATAGCGGTGTATAGGTTTCGCACTCAATTTGAAAGATGACCCTTGTAGCAAAGTGGCAAATAACGTTTTTATGAAATGACGTGGGCGAGGTTTATAAATATTTCATGGATCGCTGCGAAGCAGGTAGTTCTTAAGGTATGTGTAAATATTCTGTTCAAGGATTAAGTGTGTACAATGTCTCGTTTCTGACGGATTCTTTTCTGGTATTTAGGAGTGCAATTCGATCTTCGAATCCGTTCAGATTTTCAAGGAGTAGTATCTACGTGAATAAGTAACTTTTTTAATAAATTGTACTTGGGATTTAGACATATCAAGACTCCCAAGGAATATTTTAACTGAGTGTTCCTTTTCATATTAATTTATGGCGTACTTATTTATCGACGTCGGGAAATGGCGCTCAAATTACAGAATTTTGGTAGACCTTTTTCTAGCAATTAAAGGAAAGAACGGTGTTAATACGTTGGGTGATAATATCTGTTACACAATACGTATGACACGTGTGGAACTATAATCTGTATTTTTTAATTTTATTACATGGAGTCAACTTCGTTAAATATTAAAGTACCAAGCATAGCCATCGATAATGAAAGAAAAAAATGAAATTTATATAACGGAGTACCCTGGTTAAACCAGCAAATGTGGACTGTTCTTTATATTCTTATTCGCAGGAGTTACCGCAAACGTGTGAAACATTACTCAAATGAAATGTAAATATAACGTGACTTAATAAAATGTGACTATTTCAAATTCCCTTGATTTCTTAAATAGCAGAATTTTGGGCGGGAAAATCATAAGCTCTAAAAACATTTGACCAATCGTACATTGATTTCCGTTAGATCCAACGAATCACCTGTGCTCTTGAAGAACCGTTGACGAATCATGTAACAGTATTGTCAAATGGTATACTCTTGTATCGTCCTTTACGTATGGGGTACCGTTGGAATTAAGTAAAATTTCTATATTCGTTGATGTTAAGTCATATTGATAGTTAAAAGGAATTGTTAAGACTCGCGCTTATATCTGACGGAAGAATCTGAGAGAGAACGTGTACGTATGGTACTTAATCCGATAATACTAGTAGTACCGCGCGATCATTTGAGGTTATGATCGTTTGCTCCAGCTATTTAATTATAATTATAGCAAGCGATCTTTGAAGGTCACGTTATGTTTATATTTTTTTTCTAGACATATTTGAAACATTATTCGGAAACATTACATGTAGAAGTTAGCTATATGCCATGTGATTTTATTTCAGATGCCAGTTCTGCGTGGAAGTCATATCGTTTTATTTTGAAACCTACTAAGATACAACTATGCCAAAGTCTAAGGAATATGTATCAAGTAGCAGTACTAGTGGCAGTGATAGCGAAAGCGAGGTAACTGCCGTACTTTAGTATTTTGAAGAAAAAAGAGAAAAGAATCTGGATAACGTAATTTTAAATATTTAATCAAGGATAAGAAGGTAAAAAAGCAGAAAAAGAGGAAGAGCGAAGAGCACGAAGAAAAGCCTGCGCCTAGTAAGAAACCGAAGAAGGAAGAAAAGAGCAATGAAGAACCCATTTGGGATCTTGGAAATAATCGTCAAGTCATGGTTCGAGAATTCAAAGGAAAGCTCTATGTAGACATTAGAGAAATGTATTTTGATAAGGAAGGAGATCTGAAACCTGGAAAGAAAGGTAAGCGCAACATGCAAATTACATATATATCAAGTTGAATTGGTTGGTGTATTCACATGATTTGGTAAAGCAATTATATTTATTTAATCACAGGTATTTGTCTTAACATGGCACAATGGCGCAAGTTCATGTCGGTGGTAGAAGAGGTTGATAAGGAAGCAAAATTGAGAGGCTAGTACTCAAAAAGAGAAAATCATCATGAAAACCTTGTATTAGATGGGTGTACATGTTCTTGTAATAATGTAACAGTGTAATTTACGTATTACGTTTGTACATTTTTTATTCAATGTGAGTACATTCAACTGTGTGTAATATGCAAAATAAAGTGAGGCACTGCCCACCGTTTAATGGTTTTTATTTTGTTAGGAATAAATAAATAGTATAAATGTTTTATTTCCATTTTTGACACTCTCTGTCTAATGTTTCTAATGTTGAACTCGGAAACAATTAGTTTTTGGCTCCATAATGTATACATTCACGGATCTTTATCACATTGTTCTATTCAAAGTTCTTGAACTTAGGACAGTCACTTGTAAACCAGTCTTAATATTAAATATGCTACAATGCTGCACAATATTTTACATTATTTACAAAGTAGGTAGACTACAACGATTGGGCCCTTACTCCTCAACTCCTCAAGCCCCTTACTCATCAAGGCAATAATTATTATCAAAGAGTGACTATAAGTCAGTTCATTCGAGCAACTGTACATTTAAAGATCTCATACGTAATTATTGCTTCTTACAGTATACACTGTACACAAATGTCAATGATTCCTGTGTCGTAAAGTTTATGTACAGACCTTGGTGATCTTGTTGAACAAGTTAGAAGGTATTAAAAATAATCTCCAATAATTTATGCAATTAAAACGAATGAAAAATAACCCCTTACTGACAAGCAAAGGTAACGGTACACAAATTTTAGTTGAAACTTAGTAATTAGAATTTTTGGAAATCGTTTCGAAAGTAAAGGTGCCACACTTTGTTAATTTTATGGATGAAAGCTTTTTGTAGAAGGTTGATGACTTAAGAATCTTTCCTCTATAGAACGCTATAATACTATATTCTCCTGAAGGTTCAACAAAATCTGCTGATAAAAAAATCACTACTTTACAGCGATGCTATGTATAAATTGAAACAATGCTCAGCATCTTACCCTATTAGAAAACAATATATATACACATGCAGAATTTGTGTCCTTTAACAGTGTCGAAAGGTACACTTTTGCCAAAGTTATGCCGGACCATGAACAGAGGTTAGAAACCGGTCCAGGTCGACGTTACTTAATAGTACTTTTGGATCCGTCGTTCGCACTTTCTTTTCGGCCTAGAAATCAAAGTATAGATTTAATTATAAATTAATAGATAATCAGATAACCTCAAATAAAGACCGTTTAAGACAACTAACCTGTTCAGCATCCGTCGTTTCAGACATTTTTCTCTTGCAAGGTTTTTTGCTAATTTCATCTGAAATTTGAAGCTTATAAGTGAACGTGAAACTCGGAATATTAAAATATTTCCTACCTTTTTCTCGATCGCTACTGGGATCGGTTGACTTCTTCTCCTTAACATCATTATGCCTGACAATTGGCGGTTTAGTTTTCATGAGGATTTTACCAGCTCCGTCATCGATTCCTTGCTTCTCCTTAAACACCGGTGACGACGTAGCTAGTGGAACAATATCTACACGTTTGTACAGCTTTGTAGAATTGCTTAAAGTAACCACTCCACACTTCGATTTTATAGGTTTTTTGACCACTGTTTTCTTTGCCACAATTCTTCTTCTGGGTTTTGGGGAAATGTTGAACAATTCTTCATAAGCGGTGGCTTTTAGCATCTTGACTAATGCCTTAAAGTTGTCATCCACAACTGTCACCTCAATTTCTAGATCCGTGCTGCTGTATTTTGGTTTCCTTTTCTTGACAGGTGCTGACTCGTCGTAGACAAAGTGATACTCGACAGAATTCGACGGTTCAGACTCTACATCACTCACTGCATCCTCTTCATAGTTTTCACTTTTGTTCGTAGGAACCAAGTGTAAGCACTCCAAGACACACGGTAACTCCTTATTGGAATTATTTAAACACTCCTCGAGTACAACATCTGTCGAAGTAATATTTTCTGCCTCAGCATCTTCTGTCTTCTGAGCATCTATCTGTCGAGTCTTCGATCGAGTTGTTCTTTGTTCATTTTCCTCATCACTAAACAGATCTCGCTTCACCTGATCCACTTTAGACTTCAAGGAAATCTTCACATTGTCACTTATGTGTTCCTTCGCGGTCCAAGTTTTTTCTTCGCCTTGCAGCTCTAAAAGTGGTTTATCTTCTTTATCATGTGCAACGAGATATTCATCCGAAAGCTTTGCCTTTTTCATGTCCTTTATCACTGGCCTTTTAACATCTACATCTTTGGCCTTTTCACCTTTAACATTCTTACTCTTACTTTTAATTTTCTCTCCCTCGTCAGTTTTCAGATTATTCTCTACGTTTTTCTTCTTTTCTGCCATTGAATGGTCGAGCTCTGCTGTATCCTTCAAAGTGCTTATGGTAACTGAATTTTTTGACCCTTTCTTAACCTCCCTCTGTGTCTTCTCCATCGCATCTTCAGAGTTTACAATCTGTAACACTCTGTCGTGCTTGGATTTTTCTCCTTTATTGTCTCTATTTGTAATATTTTCCTGCGTTAACTTGGACTGCTTTCCTTGCATTTTCTTTGTAACATCGATTGCCAAGTCTTCACTTTTCTTGTCTATGTCATGGTCACTCATTGGAGCTTCAGATATTGTTTCGACATATTCCGCAAGCTTGGCAGAACTATTAGATTTCTTTACAGATTTATGATTAGGAAGGGCATCTGCTTTGGATTGCTTAGCATTACTTTTCTCCACGTTACGTACCTCCTTTATTTTCTTCTCTCTATTTTTGTCAATCAATGTTATTCGTTTAATACGAGACTTCGTAGGTGCCACATTAGTTCCTTCTGACTTAAACTTAGCCATTAGACGTTGACGTTTCTCTTCAAGTTCCATGCAGAGTTTGGCGTCCATAGTTATTTTTGATTGCTCAACCGAAGCGGTGTCAGGATGTGCAAGTCCAGTATGATCGGTTGCAGGTTTTGGTTTTAAAGTAATTGTCACTTCCGGTAATACACGTTGTACACTGATTACTTTAGGGAGCTCAGGTTTTTTTCCCACTACTTTACTGGGCATACGACTGAGCTTCGATGTCTTCTCGTCTTCCGAGTTAATGAAAGCAGAAATCTTTGAAGATAAATTAGTGAGGTTCTCGATGCCACTCTTAGACCCACTGGGTGTTTCCGATATGTCCGCTTCGGCCAGAAGAGTTTCATCCTTTGCTGGTGTTTCATTTACTGGAGCATCGGTAGGTACATTGGTCTCCGTCACACTAAATACTTTTGTAGGAGACACTTCGTTCTGAGTTTGATACACATCTGCTGTAATCTGTTCTTGAATTTTCTTTGGCTCCTCTGGAAACGGTTCAGGCACGTTTTCTGGCACACCTTCATCGACCACCACATTCTTTACATCCGAAGTAATTTTCTGAGCTGAATCATTGCTCGTATCTGTGTAGATCTTGTTCACAGATTTTTTTGTTAATGAAAATGGTGTCGAGGGGCTCGTTATACTGGAGCTACTTGTAGAAGATGAGGAGGAAGAGGAACTCGAGTCGGAAGATGAACTACTGTCACTATTACTGTCACTAGATTCGTTGTCACTGTGGGATAAACTGTCATCACTGTTGTTTGCTTCTGAGGACTCATTTTTCCCCTTTGTTGATTTTTCAGTAGGTGACGTTTCCACTTGTTGAGTTTCGTCCACTGGTTGAGACTGAATCTCCATCGAATTATTGGAACTTCGAGAGATCTTTAGTTCTTTCACAGCCTCTTCCCTCGGCAAGTTCTCTTTGATCACTTCAAACTGAGTGATTTCTAATTTCTTGTTAATTGTACCGGTTCGAACATTGTTGACACTGTCAATCTTGAGATTTGTTACGCATACTTCTGTCCAGGTGGTGGAGATCTGCGATTTCTTCGTACTTTCCTTCTGTGAATTAGTCTGCACTACGCTCTGATCTTCCTTCGCTTTGTCAGCATCCTGCGGTTGATAATAGGAAGAACACATGTTTCCTTTCTCGTTGACATCTGCGGTGTTCTCTCCTACTTTCGGCGTCAGTGCTATGGAAGGTGTTGGAGGGAACTCCGGCGTGTTCATGAAATTGCAGACCATTACGGAGTCCTCACCGAGCTTAATAAATGGAGTGATGGTATTGCTACTGGGACTGATGACTCTCGGTGTAGGTGGAATACCCAATGAATTTTCTGTTTTCCTGGGAGTTTCTAGATCCATCATGTGAGGCAATGGCAAACTCTGTTGAGTGGCTTCCAATGTTATTTTTGGAATTACCAAGTCTTGTAGCGCACCACTGTCGACACTAAACGAATCCACTGTATCCTTTTGACCCGACTTGGATATGTTAGTTGCCAAAGTTTTCAACTGTGCATACTTTTTGACCACCTTCTTCTCTGTCTTTTCGTCAATATGCTTAATCTTGGGATCACCAGTTTGACACGAGTCCACAATAACCGATGGATCGACCGTCTTATCAACAGATGAAACATTAACACCTTTCTTCTCGCCTATTTTATTAATCTCCTTTTCACAATTCTGTAAATCCACCGTATCTTCTTTCTCCAAGGAAGGCTTTTTCATATTTTCACTCGACACTTGACTCTCCATCTCGACACTCTTCTTCGGTCCATCTTTCATCGGGGTTTCTATATTTTTAGGTCCATCATCGGAGCTCTTCTTAACCTTGCTCGCGTTTTTTCTCTTGCCTTTGCATTTTCTTAAAGGTTTCTCTTCCTCCTGTGGAATTATCGACTTCCTCAGGTCGGCGTCCCAGCAACGGGCCAGAGGTTTTTCGGACGATGATTGCACCTTTTCCGGGGACTGCGAAGGCGGACTACCCAAAATCATTCCAACTCCGGTGTACCTTTCCCAGCCACCGATGAGCTTCGGCGCTGGACTTCGGGTTGCAATGGGCACTTTACACGGTCTACAAATTTTCAAGGGAGTTTTTACTTTCGGCGCATTTACACTTGTATTTGAAAACGGAGGAGACTTGAATAGAGTTGTTCGACACACCGATTTGGAGCGAGCCGATGGCTTCGAAGAGAACTGAGCACTTTCATTGATCTTGCGTACTGAACTGATTTTCGATGGCGTATTGAAATCCAACGCCCTTACGTGACTACTGCGTCTTCGAGGTGTTGACAGACTCAATCTATGATTCTTCGATCGACTTTTCATCAGAGATTTAGGTGTGCGCTTGGTAGTGGGATCTTTGTTGCTGGTCGATGCTGCTTCGACCTGATTGTCTGCATCGACTGTTAAGATCTGAGATAACGATTCGTGATCCGCCTCTTGTGGCAAATCTTGGACAGTAGGATTCAGATCCTGAATGCTGGGATTACTGTTGTGAAATTTCAGAAACGGAGAGAAACCTGTCCCGGAAAGACTGATGGGCTCATCGAGATTGATCATAGGCATGTTCGCAGGTTGGAGCATCGTAGTGTCACTATTCTCTTGACCATAAAGGGTGATTGACTCGAGGCAATTTTTAACGCCCTCGGTAGAATTCGAAGAAGTCCCAGCAACTGGTTCCTGGATACCTATATTAGTTGGAGGTTGACTTTTGATTTGTGGTATCAGGTCGTTCCTTGGTATCGGCACTGGTATAATGGTTTGATTATTCTTCACTAACTCTTGCAACGTCTCCAGATTTAATTTTTCCACCTGCGTAGGTACTGGTTTCACAGGTCCCTGAGATACCTTTTTCCTCCGGACAGTGTTCATAGTCTTCAGATAAATTGTGTCTGGCGGAGGGCAGGTACCTGAAAATATCAATATGTTATTAAATATTCCTAAATGTATTGCATTTTCTGTACCTTTAACACGTGCGAAAAATATGTATATTACCTTTAGGAGCAATTGGTATAAAGCGAGATGTCGACACGGTAGAACCAGTTTCGATTGTTCTCGATTGATCTGAAATGTTTGAAAACTTTTGTTATTATATGAGTGCAAAGAGTCTGTTAGGAATAAAAACAATTTCATTAGACTGTCTACCTACAAGTAGAGTTTACACTAAAAATGGAACTAATCTCTTCCTTCGAGCAAACAATTAATGTAGGCATTGTCATCATTTCTTCTTCAGAGATCAACTGTTTCGGGTTGGACTTTGCCTTTCTGGTAGTCGAAGGTTCTCTCTTAGATCTTGAAGTCTTTTGTTTTTTAATAGGATATTTCCTAGTTATTTTAGGTGCCACACAATCCTTACTTGTTTCAATGGTTTCCTTCTGATTTTCTAAAATAGGTTCCAACGAAATAACCGGTTTCAAAACTTCCGTACACCTGACATTTTGTGCTTCCACCTTATTCACAGTCTGCGAGTCTACTATTTGAACCACATCAGGTACTTTTGCCAAATCATTCGGTGGTTCAATACTCGTCTTATCTTCTACAGGTTTAGCCTCGTTGAAGTTAGCATTTATAATACTCAAAATTGCTGCAGCATTCTGAACAGCTAGGGCATCGTGTTCCGGTTCCTTTTCCTTTTGTTTCTCCACGTCATCCTCAGGTTTACCATTTTGTTGTCGAGATGAGCTACGCAGCCTATGCTTCAATGGTATTTCAGAGGTACCTGTTCCACTTATGGTTGCCAGTGGTTGTACAGATTTTTGTACTTGAGCTTCCGCTTCAGCCTCGTCTGACTGCTCTCCGTGTATTCTGTAATTAATTCTCTGCCTGTTAACCATCATATATAATTACTAATCGTTGGTTCTGATTATTTTACGTCAATTTTAATTAGATATGGCTAACGTACCCCGGAGAGCATTCTGAATTTTGCTTCCCATCGATGTCTTCGTCTGGACTCGAATCAGTGTCTCCGTTTGGACCAATTATTTCATCGAGGAATTGTTCGAATACAGGATCGGTCTCAGTTGCCGCAACTATCGACTTAATGGCACTGTTCAATTCCTTCATGATAGAAGTGTTGAACTCACCTCCCGTAGCCTCTGAAAGGCTTTCATCTTTATTGGAGGACTCTACGGGGAGTATTGCTTTATTTATATTGTCTGCAATCCGCTCTTGCAGCTCGGTTCGATTTAACAACTCTTTTGTTAATAACTGAAAATATGTCGTAAATTATTGAGATGTTCTCTAGAGTGTCTAGTCAATTTTGTAACTCACACTAAGATTCTCGATGGGTTCATCATTCGTTTCCGATTCAGATTCTGGGACTTCATAAGGAGGCGTAGTTTGAACTTCCGTGGTAGTATAATTTAATAATTCTTCTGTGCTGGTAGCAATACACCTTCCAGCCTGTTTTGTTGGTTCATTCGCTTTATTCTGAAGTCCAGTTGAATCATTACTATGTATTTCCGTTACTCCACCTACTGATTTATCATATATAATTTTTTTTTTTAAACAGAATATCAGTTGTTATTTACTTAAGTTCATCTTACTACCTGTGTCGTCTGTGGTTGTTGGCATTGTAGCCACCGAATACTTATCGACATTGTCATTTTCTGTTGAAGAGCAACAATTTTGAATTACACCTTCCGACTGAAATCCAAGTTGCTTTTCTTGACTAGTCATCCCTGAATTTCCTGGCAAGCTTTCCAAGGGCGTTGCTTCGATCGTATCACAAGTGTCTAAAGTGTTGTAAATATTTTTGTAGTCAAATGATAATTATGCTAAGTCTGATATTCCTATGATGCTTACACTGAGTAGAAACTGGTTCGGATTGCTTTTCAATTGGCTTAGGTAGCGTCTTTGTGCCTCGCTTACAGCGTTCACGGTCACTGCCACTATGATGTCTTTTGCGTATACTACTGGAAATAATTGGTGACCCTCCGGATACATGAGAACTATTCTGAGAACAGGGTAGGCAAGTTTTACCTTACATGTAAATTATATCGATTGACACTAATTAAAAGCCATTTCCTCAAAGCTATTACAAAAATAGAAATTACTTGAGAAGGCACATTAATGTTTACGACAAAACGTTGTCCTCGAGATTCTTCCATCAGAAATTTCAGCTGTTCCAACAAATCTCCGTTGTGTTTAATTTGCTCGGAATCAGCGACCTTATTCAATCTTTCTTGAACTGTGAATAATGGCGAGTTACTAAAAATAAAAACATCTACGGTCCAATTAGAAACTTACTCATTGTACTGGCTGTAGAAAATTTCTCGAGAATATCTACAAGGGCTAAGCCGTGAACACGAGTACTGAATCGCCGGCCGCTCGAAGCGACCGTACGACATTCTTGTAAGTGTGGACACATCTCTAAAAACGACTTTGCAGCCTCGTTGCATTTTTGATCTTCAAGGTACCCTAGGATTTAAAACAAGATCTTTATTAATCACAGTAAACCTCAGAAATGGGTGAGTGAATGTTCAAGATAAAATTAATGTATAAGAAAGGAAAGACAACAAAACGGAAAGTAAATAAATATATACATGATTCCGTTACAATTTATATTCATCTCTTATATTATTTTCTATTGAATAAATTGGAACGTTGTTATTTAAACAAGCGAAAGCTTAAGATCATATACGCTAGTTGAGACATAAGTCGATTTATATATATATCTCAATAATGCTAAATAATTCCTAATACTGTCAAGGAATTAGACAAAAGAAATCTTCCATTGTCGATTCGCTAAGTGTAACTCATCGGCGATACAACAAACAACTTAAATAACAAATCCTGGACTGAAAAATTAGAGGAGTAAAGCAACCTAGACATAAACAAAATAGAAACAAACTGCACGACGCTGCGAAGCTGTTGACATTCCCGCCATAAAAAGAGGTTAAGGCATTACGCGAAGTTTCGCTCGGACCCTTACCTAGAACCAATCGTGCGATTTCCGAGGGAAGCAATGACTCCATACCAGCCAGCGAGAAGAATCCGCGCAATTATCGTGGAAATCTTAAATTTCCCACATTATCCATAATATTTATAGCGTTTTAAAAAAGACTCGGCGCCATCCGATGCGACGATAACCTCGAAGAGTGCTCGCAGTCATCACAGGATTGCGATTCGTGCTGCCCTCTTGCATATTTTCCTAAAAGCTGATACATCACCGTCCGAGTGAAGCCAGAGTCCGACTGACAACGTCGGGTGTTACATAGAGCACGGCGCGTCGTCGTATCGAAGACGTCAGCCAATCAGAATCACGCTTATCTCGAGCACCGCTTCTGATTGGTTATTTGTTCTCGACGCATCGACGCGCCGCGCTGTGTGACACCCGACGCATTTAGTGGGACTCTTGGCTGATGGAGAGTTGGTGCGCGAGAACAGTGGCGTAGAAATCCAGTAAAATCAGCGGTGCAACGTCCGTGAATGGTTCGCGAATCTCGTGGGTTCTCGCGGCCGTTCGCGACGGTGGTTAGGCGAAGACGATCCGGTTTTGCCTGGAGGTTACGGCCGTCTCGTTGGAGGCTCTTGAAGAAGCTTAAAGCAACGCCCTCCGTCTCAAAGACCCGCTCCGGGCAGAGGTAACATGTCGGATACGAGGCGCCGTCGAAAGTCCCACCAGTCCGGGGGCTCGGACGATCTCTCGGACTCCTACGAAGAGCTCAACGTCTCGAAGGATGTCCAGGTAAGGACCTATTTCCAGTTCCAGGACGAAACGACTCCGAAGCGATGAAAAAATGTACGCGTTCCTCGCTAAAATGTGCTTTGGACGAGCATTGACGCTGGACAGGTTTCCGGAATCGAGGTCGAAGGTTTAGGGCCATTAAGGTCAGAAAATCCACAACTCGAGACAGATTTCACGGTCTTGATTAGTCAGAATCTCAGATGATGTAAGGTAATGATCTTTGACCTCGTTTCAGATAGAATACAAAGTGGATATTTTGGAATATCGAGGCTGGTACCGTGAATCAATGGAATGACATTCAAGGGACCGAGACGAGCGAAACGTACACTGATTTGAAGCAATGGTTTTTTTGTGACTACCTGTTTTCTTTGGTTTCAGAGCAATGAACAGACCGAGGACCATCCGGACTCGGAATACGAGACTGGCGATAGCGACACTGAAGCTGAGTCTCAAGAGGGTGCTCCTCGTGAAAGTGGAGATGGCCAAGAAGAGGACAAGCCACCGAGGAAGCTCGACGACGACGAGGATAGACGAAATCCGCAATACATTCCGAAGAGGGGAACGTTCTACGAGCACGATGACAGAACTGCGGATGAAGTAGCTAACACTACCGTCGAAGTGCAGAATGAGAGAGAAACAAAGGAGAAGAAGGTGTGGAAGGACGAGGAGGACAAGTGGAATCACGACAGGTACAACGACGACGAGCAGGCACCGAAGAGCCACGAAGAACTAATTGCCGTTTACGGTTACGATATAAGAAACGAAGAGGGTCCACCTAGAGCAAGAAGAAGACGGAGATATGGGTCAGTACTCCGCCTGTACTCGTAGCACAGGTATTGAACTAGATGATATATTAACCTGAACGTTATCGACAGACGAGGACCCAACAAGTACACTCGTAATTGGGAGGACGAGGATGCTTATGGAAAGACTCCTGCTACCGCAACCTCTACAGGAAAGGGGGGTAACAGGAGGATCAACAAAACTGGAGAAGAATTCCCTGCATTGATTTCAAACACAGAGGTATGTTATACTAATTTCATAATTAATTTCCATCGTGTTGCTCTTTGAATTCCCTATAATAACCATATACAAAATTAAATAATTATTCGCAGAAGACTCCCACTGGGGCCGAGGAGCCTGTGATCTCATCCGCCTGGTACAATAAAAGCAAGTCGCAGAACAAGGCTCAGAATATCTCCCTTTCGCAGAACGACAATTCTAAGCCGAAGAGCAATGTTACAGCGAATCACCAGCACATGTAAGTAACGAGTACTGGTTCAAAGACCAGCAGTGAATTATCTCTAACTTCATGATCAACTTCAGAAACGAGAACAAGTCTCCGAACGAACCGACCAACCCCGCCTGGAAGAAGGAGAACAAGTCTTCTCAGAATCTCAGCTCCAATGGCAACAACGTAGGCGGCGGCGACACGTTGTCCTCGGTAGATAGGAAGAACGTAATTTCGAATTTCGAAAGTCAAATGCGAACGGCGAGGTTTAGAGTTCGCGGCCGAGGCTTCAAGGCGAACGTGAACAACAACGGGATGACGAACAGGACGATGGAAACTAAGCCGAAAGGCCGCGGGGCAGGACCCATATCTGCGGAAAATAAGCGAACCGGTGCTGGTCAACACGACGACGAACAGCAGCTAACAAACGAGATGAAACACATGAACGTTGGCGAGGGTACGACGTTCCATCAAGGCGGTAGACAAAACAGTGCGCATCCTTCGAGTTTCTACTATCTTTGACAATACAAAATATCCGGGGATTTATTTTTAACGTAGCGTCGTCCTTTCAGAAAACTTCTACGCCCAGTCCACTAGTCAGCAGCGACCAAACTCTATTCCGCCGCGAATGCAGCAACAGCAGTCGCAACAGCAGCCGCATCAGCAGCAACAGCAACCACCACAGCAGCAGCCCCAACCGGACGCTGCCGGAAGCAGACCGAAACGATACTCGAGTCTTCGTCGACCGACCATTCCCGAGGGACCCGCTCAACCGACTTACCAGCCCCAACACGGACAGCACGGATATTATCCTCCTCAAGGTAGTGAGACGACACAAACTGACGCGTCCGCCACTGTCACTAACTTAAATTACGTGCACGCATTCTTAGCCGGAAATTCAAGGAGTGTGTTAGACTCGCAGGGTAAGATTTGCTCAGAATCCTATGGATGATATATGGAGAGAATTCAGGAATTCCCATGGAAGCCCAAAAGGATATGGAGGTTTGATGCTCGATAGTACACTAGCCAACGGATGGCGGCGCTGTCATCGTTTCTCCATCTGTTAATTTTACTTCTGGCTCCTCAGCCAACTTTTAGAGCAACGAACTGACACAGAATCTGGGCTTCTATGGAACTTCTGAATACTTTGGTACATGGATCGGCTGGGTAGAACTGAGAATGGAAGTGTCCCATTTGAATTTTACTTTAAATACGCATCTTTACGCGCTTTAACCGTATTCGCTAAATGACTAAAAGACGTCCATTAATATTAGAAGTATCTCCGGCTAGAGAGTGAATATTAAATGAATTGAATGTCAAGCGATGGAATTAAAGTGCATCGGTGTAGGAAGTACGAGATATGGTAGTTTTGTATGAGACGAAGGATGCAAAGTTCCATTTCCCTGAGGAAGTTGTGCACAGCCGATCTCGTTGCATAGTGCGGTGCCTTTGTCGGAGATTGCTCAGAGTTTTCCTCAAATTTTCAGCATATCCGCCAGGCCACTTCGAGCAGACTCCACCCGTCCCTGCTCCGGCGGCTCCCATGGCTGGTCAGCCAGTTATTCCGATCCCTCCCGGTGGTCAGCCAGCGAATTATGCACCGCCGCCATTCCTGGTACCTCCCCCGCAATTTATACCCCCGCAAACCGCCCCACCCAGCATAATCAATTACGTGCCGGGTCCAACGGGGCCGACCTTCCAACCTAACTACCAAGGCTATCAAGGATTCACTCCGGCGGTGCAGGTAGCTACGTTAATATTGTTTACATACGTCTTATATCTACTTAACATCTACATCACGTATATTTCACATCTACTTAACATTGATTATACGTCCACGTTGATTTTACATTGTTTTGTACCGCTTAATTTTACGATTTTTCCACTTTGACCAGCCGCAGGGGCCTCCACCGCCGCAAGAGTTGTTTCAGCCCCAGGGCTGCACTTACTACAGTCCCTCTCAGCAACAGCAGCAAGCCTCTCTGCTGAGACGACCCAAGGCAGCGATTCCGATTCTACCACCGCCGGATAATCAGAATCACAGCAGCAGAGGAAGAGGACGAAGCGCTCAGCAACAGATCGTACAGCCCGGCAACGCTCAGCGCGTAGAGGACGACAAGACGAACGCTTTCGAAGGTGTCCCCCAAGTCGAGGATGTCGACCAGGTCGACTGCGATGTACGGCAGGAAGTGCCGTTGGAAGACGTCGCGGAACTTCGGGACGACGTCGTCGTTCCTTCCGTTGAACTCGAGGAGGAAAAGGGCACGGTGGAAGTTCTAGACGTTGAGGAAGCGGTCGTAGAAACACCCAAGGAGGGCACTGTCGTGGATGGTGATGTCCCTACTCCGGACGATAAGCTTCCAGATGATGTCGTTGATGTGGAAAGCGTAGCTTCCGTGAAGGCCGACCTCATCGTCGACAGTGGCGAGTCTGAGCTGACGAGAGTCGAGAACGCCGTCCTCGAGAGCAACGTCGTCGAGGAGGCTGCTGCCTAGCTTTAGTTATATTATATTAACACTTGTAACTACTTGTAAAGCGACGGTACGTCGGCCGTAAGACTCGCGACGACCTTGTTCGGGATTACTTATCGTTCCGGTCGTCCTTAGGGTGGCCTTTAAAACGGTTTCTCTTGCGGTGGGCCCGCCACCTGGAGGTCGTTGAGACTGGGCGATGATGCATTAGGTTTCTCTTCATTTCTAGCGACTCGTTAACCCTCGTCGTTTCGAATATTTATACGCGAAATCACTGTCTTAAGGAGCATCCTAATCGTCGACCTGTCGGCTCTTCTACGCACCCGATGGACGCGTAGCGGTTGCTTTGTAACTCGAGTTAGTTTAATTCGGAACTTGATGGGACGGTGCTGCTAAGTAATCAATGTGAGATACATACGTTTGATTTGTTAATGCACGTTGAGGATATTCACGCCAACGATTCAACCGAGACTTCCTCTCTTCTTTTTTTTTTTTTTTGTAAACAGTAAATAATATTAAAACTGCGACCTCGTCTTATTACTTAGTGTTGTACCTCTTTATCTCTCTCTTCTTGCCAGCTGCTGACGATTAAACGATTCCGGTTACTGTCTCAACCATTTCTGAAATATACGGAATAGTTAATTAATATTAGCTGTAACGTGTATTAGACAGTCGATCCTGCATAATTCGCTTTTTAGATTACGAATAGTAGGAAAAGTTGGAGCCTTTATTAGCTCACGGGGTTTCTCAACATCGTCACTGTAAATAACACGATCTAAGGGCCATTTTAAACAACCCACTGTCTTGTGTACAAATACATTTGTATCGTAATTGAATAAGACGTAGGGATGAATAAAACATTTCAGCTGACGCTTCCGATTCTTCGAGATAATTCCGCTCCACCTCTGATAATGTAATCGCAAATGCCGCGGAGTAATCTGAATATTTATTTTCATCCTCGGTTATACACTTTGTAAATGATCGATGTACCGAGTTACAGGTGATTAGTAACGCTCGTGATTTCTGGATTTCATTGTGAACACCTTCGCGTGACAATGCTATCTACTTTGCAACATTGTTCGTACAAATGAACGCGCACTTTCTTCTTTTTTTTTTTCTTAATCATTGCTAATGATCTAACGACTCGATCCTCTGAAATCATTTAATCGGGGCAGGAGCAGACCCTGGCTTGTATCCATAAGTTTACGTTAAATACCATTTATTGCAATATTCATAAATATATAAATAAGGAGAGGGCTCGAGGAGCTTATTCTCTGTCGTGATAGAAGAGACCTTTGTAAGAAAATTATTCATTCGTTTATACTATTCGCGCTTGTCGTTCTCTGAATTTGTCACTGCGCTCAGAGGGATCACTTCGGTTGTTTGTCTGATGTTGTTGTTGTTAATGGTCACCATGTGGAGGGACCTTGTAAGGAGGTTTCCTCGAGGGCCATGGGCATTCGAGACGTCCGTGAAAGTGTACGGTCTTCGTCTATGGGGACTTCCATCTCGAGTACAGCAGAAAGTGCGCTTGAACTCCTTCCGAAATTTACCTGCAAGGATGAAAAGGAACGCCATTAATCAACCTGTACATTACTTGCGTGGAGATTATTTATTCCGAATGTATAATCCAACGCGTTAGCGGTGAAAAAATACTGCGAGATCCCACGAGGTATTAAGGCGCCATTGTGAAGGAGCAATTAAAATCGCATTTGTTGAGGCAATCTCTGAAGTAAAAATTTATCGAAAAAATCCCTAACGGAGACGCGAGGTCAGGAATTAAATCGAAAATTGTTCCGACGAGCTGTATTACATTCTGCGGAATTTACCGTCGTTATACATCGTCCATTAATCCTTATTAATTCTCTGTCGCAAATTGAAAGGTACGTCCGCCATTTTGTTCTCGTGCAAAGGCCTCGTTAGATTTTAATCGAATTTACGCAACGCAGGCGATAAGATCCTTCTCTCCCTCGATTTGCACATTAAGGGCACTTACCCCTACTCGAGGGCGAGCGGCGCGTTTTCGGGTTGGCCCTCGTTAGCTCGGTCCTTAATTATCTGCCGAGGTTCCCGTAACGATTCCGTGCGAAAAGTCAGGCCGTGGGTCCCACGGTTGCTCGTCAGGCCGAAATTGCTGGGCATGGTCGACCTCCGGTCCCCGATCCCTTCGTTCATCGGACCCGACGAGCAATCCAGGAACGCGCGGTGGAACTCCTGCCGGAACTTACCTGGAAACCAGAATTAACGAGTCCCAACGCCGCGGCCGCCATTTTCAATTTTAATCCATGCTTCGTTAAAGTGATACGAAAGAATTTTATGAATTAAAACGTAAAAATATTTATTAAACCGGAATTAACGAGTCCCAACGCTGCGGCCGCCATTTTCAATTTTAATCCATGCTCCGTTAAGGTGATACGAAAGGATTTTATGAATTAAAACGTAAAAATATTTATTAAACCGGAATTAACGAGTCCCAATGCTGCGACCGCCATTTTCAATATTAATCCATGCTCCGTTAAGGTGTTACGAGGTAAATGTATATATTAGGGGCACCCAGAAGTAATCAATTATTTTGAAAGAGGTGTTTTCTACGTCCAAAAAATTGATTACTTATGAGTACCCCTAATTTATAAAAACGGGAAAATCTTTACAAAACTGGTATGTTAAACAAACTTTATGGTGAACATTTTACGTTTTAGCGTAGGTTTGAATTTAAAAGGGGCCCGAGACGTCGAAATGTTTTCTGACGGTGCAGCGAGTATAACTTTGAGGGCAAAGGGTTAACATTTTCCGGGTTATTTGCACGGAGCCGACTTTGATCGACGACAACGGATATTACGGATGTTTTACTTGTCGAAGGAAAGTCCGGCTTTCGAGAGTGCTCCGCTTGGCTTTGCGATTGAAATACTCCCAGTTTTATTTCGACGGAACAGCGACGACAGAGTTCCGATTTGCCGGTCGGATTCGGTCCCGGAACAAGGCTCGTCCTGGTTTGTTTTATCGGCGGATTATTAAATCCCAGTTCCACTCAGCGGAGAGATCTGTTTGACTTGCTCGACCAAATAATGCGTCTCAATTGTTACACGTGCCGTTTCGGAAAATAAATCTAATACCCGCGGGAAGGGCCTTAAAATGGCACAGATTGCAATAAACATATCCTTTGCGTTACGAGGATGTAAAAGTAGCAAATCTGAAGGACCAATCGTTCGTGAAACTTTTTTACCCCAAATCGAGTGCACCGAAACGTTTAAAACTTTTTACACCGTGAATGTGGAGAAGGTCCTGACACCGTTGAAATTTCATTATTTATAAGAAAAATGGTTTCAAACGATTCGGTTCGGAGAAAGCCCTAGAAATTTCATAATTTATGGAAAAAAAAAATGTTTCAAACCATTCGGTTCAGAGAAAAGAGAGACAAAGGAGACCTCTTTGGCGCCACTTCCGCGTCACCTTAAGAGTGCTATTCTCCTTAGAGCACACTCTAAGAGTACTATTTGTAAATAAAAAGTGTCGAATTCGAGAGTTCGCCCGAGATGTTGCGACTTCACTAGAATCGTAGACTCGGTTTTGCGTAACGAGTTGCGAGAGAGCGGGCGCCCTTTTAACAAAATTGCAAGGCGAGCTATTTACTCATGTTAGGATGTACATATGTGCAAAGTATACTTTGTAGATGCGAGAGAAGATTGCAAAGAGCGAGTGTGATGGAAAGTGACAGGTCGGTAGTACTGCCAGGAAATGTCATACAGCGCTGAGATGTCACCTGAGAGGTGAAAATCCCACAAAATACCGGAACGCGGAAAATTGTCATCCCTACCCGTGGAGGTGTACATATTTATAATTCAAAAATAACGAGGGAACACATGTACATTGAGAGTAAAAAATTTCATTTAGCCGGCGAAACACATTTTTCTTCATTAACACTGCCAAAGAAACATTTCCGAAATTCGAAGACTAATTTATTTGACTGGAATAAATCGGACGCGGCGTTTGGAATTGCGGCAATTTATTTGAATTAAGTGAAGTCAATTATTCGTGGGATTAAAATAATATTTCTTTGGCTCGCGGAATTTGTCCTTTTTTTATCTCGGTGCATATAGTACATTTGCATAGTGATGATGGAAAGTGACGAGCCAGACGAGTAGTATTATCGAGGGAAAGTCAGACAACGCGCCAAGGGTGCCGGAAAATTCCTGACATTCGGAAATTTTCATACCACTAGTTGCGTCTTCTATTTCAGGACGTAACGCGAAATTAAGACCATTTCGAGGGGAAAGTTCTCGTTACGATTTCAGCTCACGTGCGATAGCAAAAATTACTTTAGGAGATGTATCGCCATTTCGTTTATACCATCGTCCCGCGAGAGCGTTCCTCTACGAGCGATAAAACATATCCGAAATGGGAGAGGGATATTTCCGCAATTTTTCACCGCGAGGAAATAAAACCGCCTTAATGATATCGCGTCTGACCACTGCGCGACTCGTTCTACTGGAAACCTGCACTTGTTGCCCTTTACTATGTGCACACAAGTAACTAACTATAGGAGTGAATTTTTTCCTGGATATAGTTGTGAGATAAATCATATCTTAGAAAAAAAAAAAAAAAAATAGAAATAAAAAAATAAATCGATACTCCCGCAATTTTTCATCACGCGGAAATAATTCCACTTTAATTTATTTCCTGGATATAGTTGCGAGATAAATCAAATCTTAGAAAAAAAAATAGGAATAAAAAAATAAATCGATACTCCCGCAATTTTTCATCACGCGGAAATAATTCCACTTTAATTTATTTCCTGGATGTAGTTGCGAGATAAATCATATCTTAGAAAAAAAAAAAAAAAGCAGAAATAAAAAAAGTAAATCGATACGCCCGGAATTTTTCATTACGCGGAAATAATTCCACTTTAATTTATCGTCTGGCCATTGCTTGACTCGTTCTACTGAGAATCCTTCCTGGTTACATCGTATTCAATGATCAAATGTTAAGTAGTGAATATGTATAGACCGTGAATGCGATTTATACACAAACAGAGAAGTACAGGACAGAATTGTTAGCTGGACTCGCTCTACCGAGAATCTTCCCTCAATTGGCAAATATTAAGAAAAAAATACATACACCGATTGGTCGGGATTTCTACATGAGTAGATATAAGTATAGGGGGGAATTTTTTATTCCCGGGCACATTTGCAGGAGTGGCGAGCACACGCGTTGACATTTACGGGAAAGGGCGCTCGTCATGAAATGCAGTCGTTAATACTCCTTTTTTTTTTTCTCACAGTTTCCAGAGTGCATTCGCACGGATATATTCGAGCCGCGTTCTCGCCAGCTCGAGGTTTCGACCTCGTTTTCTATTTTAGCTTATATTATTCAGACCTCACGAGTGCGCGACTCTGCGAAAGGCGCGATACGCTGCTGGGCATTGCTTAACATAAAGGATTCAGCGAATTGTTCGAAAATCAGAAGCGGATCGAGAGCTCGCAAAAGCCATTGTCACGCCGCGAAAGGAATTACTATTAGAGGTCTTCGTTATTTTAACAGCGCCGTTACAACGCGACCTCCCTTAACATAAACGTAGATTTTTCCCGAGCATTATTCCCAACCACGGGAAATAAATCCATCCCGAATTGACATCCATTTCTGCCGATTTGGAAACAAAGAAAGATCCAGAATTGATATACGTCCTTACGGAGAATTACGGTCTTTACGGATAAAATCTCAATTACAGAAAAAAAAATTAAGGGGTGAGCCACCCCTCACAGGCCTTACTTTGGATGATGGTTTCACCCCCTTAAAGTGTTTAATGGCAGATAAAAAAAAATACGTGTCGCTTAGTTTTCAGTCTACTATAACATATTATAAAAGAAATCAAATCGGAGAGATCGACCTGAGATACCTTCCGTGTTAGTAAATCCGACAGACGCGTTTACGTGGGACGGGATTAAATGAGGATCGAAGAGGCGAGGACTCGAGGTTCTCATGCCCATGAAATTTCAATCTTTAATACAAAATTTAATAAATGTCTATAATGAAATCTTTAGAATACTGAAATTTCATGAGTGTAGGGACCTTACTTATAGACTCCGTATTCACGTTGTGAAGTTTCAAACGATTCGGTACACCCAGGTCGGAGAAGTTTCACAAACGAGACGTAATTGACTCTACTTTGCATGTCACCTTAACATCCCCCGTTGTAAACGCGCTAAAAAAGAACTTGCAAGGTACGATCGTAACGTGGGGTAATTATATGATGGGATATCGGGTACATTTGTAAAAATGTTAAATTTTCTTTTTCATTTTGCCTAAAAGGCCATACGAGCGTCGTTTCGACGTTTGTCGTTGTGACGTCCGTTGTGGAAGTATATTGTAATATATAGCGACGTGTGTCGCCTTTGTCACAATTAAATTAACATTTGCACATGCGTAAGCAGTCTCGCCGATTTTTTTCTGTAAACATCGGGCTTGCTTATTACCGGTGTTACAATTGTACCCGATCTCCCGTACTCGAGGCCCAGATGCAAATTACCGCTCATGAAGTTGTAGATCAGGGGATTAACCGCACTGTTTGCATAGCACAGCCAGTGAGCCAGGAGGCTAACGGAGGTCGTCAGCTGATTGTCCGGCAGGTCGACGGTCTCCCTGAAATTTAGTCGTCATTTAGTCAGCAGAGGAGGCAATCGATAGGCACAAATGCAATCGATAGTCGCAAATGCTTAAAAAAGCATTTAAGGCGATAGAAAAGTAACAACCAAGGGGTCACTCCTTCATAAAACATAAAAACATAACGACTTTTGAATTTTCACATGAATATTCAGGCCTTAAGGTTGACCGATGAAACATAATTATTAGTAAAAAAAATTCTTTATACAGAAAAGAATGAATTTCATGAGGATCAAGACCTTCCTTAAGGCCTTCGCATTCACGTAGTAAATGTTCAAACGATTCGATACAATCAGTTCCGAGGAAAATGTAAACGAGGCCATTGTTGCTTTCGTATGACTTTCGTGTCGCCTTAATTTGCCGTTTAAGTCTTTTGGCGTGCAAACCGCGTTAGTTTTCAAAATTTATCAGATATGGGGACATTCCCGGTTACCTGAGGATGGACCACAGGTGCACCGGGAAATAACAAATGGCGAACATCAGAACGACGGCCACCAACATCTTGGCGGCTTTCCTCCGGGACCTTAGCTGTCCCTCTGGGTTCCCGCCGCCGGGGATGATCCCGTTTGCTTGGCACACCCTGGCGCTCACTGGAAAATACCAGAATTCATCTCGTTTTCTCCCATTTATCTGATTTGTCTCGCCGATCAAAGGCGAATCCGTGCCTGATAAACTTTGAGATTCGAGATTCGCGAGTCACGAATCGTAGAGTTGATCTTTCAGAGCTCGACTCGATCGGACTTCCTTAGACATTCCGTCCACGGGTCTGAAGTTCAATAGTAACTTGAGTTCGATGTATGTTGACCCCCAATTTCTAGACGAAGTCGTTCGTCCATGATGCCGAGGAAGTGTACCCGAGGAGCTGTCCGGTCGAACTTCACGCCCGAAGGGCTCAATTTCCGGCACGAACACTAATCGCGATACGTCAGAAAGGGATACGTCTAATCGATACCATTCCCCGTAGGATTTCTTCGACCCCAGGTTTCGACCCTTCTCAAACCTTCCCCGCAGAAACGCAATTCTCCTCCTTCCAGGACTCGCGCGGCCTCGGAGGTCCTCCCGTGCTATATTTACCGAGAATACGTGTCGGCCATAAAGGGTAAACAAAAATCTACGGAGCCTACCCTATCTTTTTTTTCCTTCCCTTTTCCTCGCGATTCTCTCATCTCGGGTCTCACCTCGGGTTCCTCTATCTACGTCCAAAATGAATACACAGCTTTCGGGAAAAATACAAAAAACGTCGACGCTATCATCGGAGTTCCCCTTGAAAAATCGATTTTGACCCCAAGATCTTCGTTTGTAAAATTTCTGATCCCTCGAAAAGTCTCCGCAAAGACCTCCCTTCGTTCAGACAAATTGTTTATCCCATCCGAAAATTTACATTTGAAAAATTTTTCTTCTTCCTCGCAGTCTCCACGAAGACCTTCCTCCGGAATCATTTTTTATCCATCGCCAAATCTCCATTTGCAAAATTTTGCTTCTTGGCGAAATCTCCAATTTTGGATTTCTTTCGGCACACATTTACTTTTTTTTACGCCGCGTTTTTCAGTTTAAACATGCCGAAGCGATGCAGAACCCTTTCGTGCAAGAAGAGCACGTTTATCTAGAGCCGTAAATTTCGCGAGAAGTGGAAGTACGTTCTCCGCGTCTTATGGGTTCTGCCTCGCTTGAAGGGTGCTTCAGAAGATTGTCTAGGTTAGGACGCCATGCCGCCTCTTCAAGAAACACGGCGAGGTCAGGAGTTAACGATTAAATCTACGGATTCGTTACACAATTCATTGGCTTTTGACGTGCACTTTGTGCATACGTAGGTGCACAAGTGCCACGTGCGTCGGTCGTCAAACAATGAACGACGCATTGTGCGGTCCATCTTTTGTTGTTCCGAGCGCCGATCGATCGCTCTTATCGCCTATCTGCGCATTCTATTTAACGATAAGAGAGGGAATCTTTGCTTCTCAAGCTTTTTCCATCATTTTCCATCATTTTCCATCATTTTCCATCATTTTCCACGGTTCAGACCCCTCGTAACGACTTTTCGCCATTCCGATAACGATATTGTAAGAAAGGATCTCTAGACGCTCTGGGGGGCGTTCAGGAAGTCCTCGGGACTTACGGTTGTGTCCAGGAATGTCGCTTCTCCATAGGACTTTGACAATTTGCCAGTAGGCGATGCTCATAAAAATCAAGGGGGCCGTGTAGAGCAAGATCAACTTGGTCACGGTGAAGATCATGGTGCTCCGTGGACTCCAGGATGGTGCACATTGCGTGAAGAGGATGGTCTTTACCCGCAGCGGCCTCGGTACCGTCTGCAAGACCAGCAAGTCCGGGATGTCTAGAAAATCGGAAAAATCCATTACCACCATAATACACTATCCTCGTAGAAATAAAAAAGGGTAAAACATCTCCCGGATAAATCTTCCCTAGGTCGGGGAGGAATTCTTCATGGAAATTCCACGGCAGCTCGAGGAGTTATTTCGCGTGATTTTTCGGATTACTGAGAGAACGATTTTCCTGGGAAGAGAAAGAAAATTTAAGAAAGAAATAGAAAAGAGGGTATCTCGCTTCACCTTCTCGAATCCATCCCTCTAACGATGGAATATCGATGAGTTATTCACGCTGACATGCACGGTTGAAATACCAGTTATCTCCGGAAATGGAATCAAACTGATTGCAGGAGTGATTACGGAATCAATGCACAGACATACTAGAATAATTGTCACGCTGGTATGCTTTATCTCTTGACCTTGATTCCTTGACAAGAGTTAGGGAAAGTAGTATAGAAAAATCGAAGATACCTCGTAAATGAATTTCTTTTCAATCTTATTTTCCACCCCGGTGTATGCATAAATTGTAAGGAATGTCTGCAATTATTTTTAACGATCTTATGGAGGCCGTAAGGAAGAACGCGATGCTCGTGAAATTTAATTAAAAAAAAAAATTCTGTTTATCTCGAACCAGTACCAAAAAGACTATTCTTGTTCGAAAAATGAAATTTTACGAACATCGCGTCTTAAGGCCTTCATAATCACGTGCTGTAGTGTTACGTGATTCGATGCACCCAGTTTGGAGAAAAGTTTTATCAATATTTTGACTTCTTGGTATGTATATATGACACTTTCATATCACCATGACACATTCGCGAGCGGCAAATTTTTTCCGTTTCAAATACTGAGTACCGGGGAAAATAATGAAATTCATAAACTGGTTGCCGCAAACTTGTATCGTTAAAGGACCTGATTCACGTCAGCGGCAATAAGGAATAGAACTTTACGAACTAGAACTTTACAATAGAAAAATACGTGAATTCACGTCAGCGGTCGCAATTGTGTTAAAGGCAAATCGTAAATTTCGGTCGCCTGTATTTTCCATTCCACGGTGTTTCTGTCTTAAAAAAATTACGTAAAAGAATACTGCAGTATAAAATGTTTATTAAGACGTTACTGGGATTCGCGGTGCTCGCATCGATTCTTTATTACACCTGACGCACTGATTATACGTACAGGTGCATTGCGTGCATAGGACAGCACGCGATAAATGTACGTGGGATGATTCGTGGGAAAGTGACTCGTCGAGGCGAAGGATCGTTCGATATCCTCGACTATCTTTCTCTCTCGAGGAGTCTTTTCGACGGAGGGCGTAAAATGGAATTCTTCTCGTAAATCGGGGGATACAACGAGCGGATTGTGCGTTTCGTTTACCGAATAGGAATGCGATCACCCAGATGACGATTATGGCCGTTTTCGCTCGCCCGGTGGTGGATTTGAATCTCAGCGGGAAGCATATTGCGTACCATCGATCAATCGAAATGAACGTTAACGTCAGGATGCTCACGCTCACTGACACCGTCTGCAACATAAACCAAATGATTTTTTAACAACCGGGATTTTTCGCCGATTTTTTTATGGGACATTTCACGGTGAATCAATGATATACGATGAGATGATAAAAACATTTCGTTATAATTATTCCTCACGGAGTAATAATAAAAAAACGTATACATACACTCTGATGCAAAGTATAGAACCAAAGAAATGTTGCGTTAACTCAAAGAATAATTAATTGAAATTAATATATACAATTAAGAAGAAACGTTGCATCGGATTTATTGGAATTCATTCCAGTCAAATAATTATTCGTTGAATTAACAAAATATTTCTTTGGCGTGATAACACATTCTTTCTTTATTTGCAATGCAGTTATCGTGCCTCACGATGGGGGGGAATGTAAATACTCTAATTTTCTATATAAAGGAAGTTATTAAAAATGATCCACATTGCAAGACACCAGGCGAAGGAAGACGTTCCTTTCATCCACCCATCGGTGGTATTCGATTCAATTTGTCAATTTATTTTCGCCCGATATTTGTCTGGCCCCTTTCTTTATATTATCTCCCACATAACTCTCAGGAGAGGTTTCCTGGGAGGAAATAAAAGAAGAAGCGATTCCGCTTTTACTTCCTTTGCCCGTAAAGAGCCCACGTAAGAAAAACTTTGCGTCGTTAAAACGGCCGATAAGGGTGCGGCCTTTCCGGATACATATCAAACGCACTGGCCACGTTTTATTTCCGAATTCCAGCTTCTACATTCTATATCTTATATTTTATATTCTACATTCTACAGTAAATCACCAATATCGGCATTTCGAACAAAATGGGGCGCGATGAAATTCGTACATCAATTTTTTTTTTAACGACTGCGCGCTCGCGGTGGAATTTTTTTTTACCTCGTTTTATTTTACAATTCCAGCTTTCATACCCTATATTTAATTGCGAATATCGGCATTTCGAACAAAATGGGGCGAAATGAAATTCATACATAAATTCTTTTTTAACGATTGCGCGCTCGCGGTGTAATTTTTTTTTACCTCGTTTTATTTCCTAATTCCAGTTTTCATATCTTATATTTAATTGCGAATATCAGCATATCGAGATGAAATTCGTACATAAATGTTTTTTTAACGATTGCGCGCTCGCGGTGTAATTTTTTTTACCTCGTTTTATTTCCTAATTCCAGTTTTCATATCCTATATTTAATTGCGAATATTGGCATTTCGGACAAAAGTGGGGCGAGATGAAATTCGTATATAAATATCATTTCCGCCGTTTCTCGCTCTCGCCGGTGGAATTTTTTTAATTCCGCAAACACGGCCGGCGTTTCTCTTTCGGCCGGGGGCGGAAACGTGAGAAACGTTGAGGTACGTTCGTGAAAAATTCATGGCCTCGATCGAGCCGTGAGAGATGCGTCCCGTGAAATATCTCTTGACATCGAGGTTGCTCGTTCGATAAACCGCGTATGTCGTCATGTACGTATGTACGAACGTAGGTACGAACGAGTACGCGTGTCGTCCTCCTCGAATGGCCGAACCTCGTGGGAAAGAGCAACTCTACGTTACGTAGTTCCCTCCCGAGACGTATTTGAATAACAAATTAAATTTCCCCGGAAAAAAGGGGAAGCCCTTGGGAAATGGATCCGGCGCCATGGTGGGCGATACGTGGCCTCGTAAATCGAGGCGACTGTTTTCGGACTGTCGTAAAAACTGTTGCGGCTAAAAGCTAGGAAAACTTATACGCGTACTTGTCCGTCCCCCGAAGTCAGGATGTCAGAGATTTTCTTCCCCGTGAACTGGAAAAAAAGCTTGTCTTCCAGCTAAATTCGAATATTGAATTCTCGGTTTTAACGAGACCGACAGAGAATGATTCAAAGCGAGGGAAACCTAGTATAATTCTATTTATCGAATTGATGTTGCCGAAGTTTGGCGTAAAGTATTCGGTGCCGTTCGCGTATGCGGTTAAATGTATTTGGCGCGAAACTCAACCGAATTTCCTGATACTGTGCTATTGAATTTCTAGGTTAGGATTAGTGGATGTTGAGGTTTTCCTTTTATTTTCTTTTTGAACGGTACAATCTTATCGTTTAATGTATTCGATTCGATTATTCGAGATTTCTCGCTTTCGGTAGGAGATGTTGGAAAGCATTTCTAGGTTAGGACGCGCTCCTGTAGGGTCGAAGCTGGACAATAAACATTCTTTCGCGGGGAACGAATCCCTCTGGACATTGACACGCTTCCAGCTCGGATACCGGAGTAGCTTTATCGGCTTTATCTTCCGCCCAACAAGGAGCAGAACATGCGATTGCTTATTTTAGTCAAGTCCTTGGAAAGCCGAAGCACCATTGTGCCAACGCCAAGCATTTCCATCGTTATCTCGACGGGGCTTCGCCTTAGTCGCAAGGAATTTTTAAGCAGGATACAATCCCGGAATAACTTTCCGAAAGCTCTCTGCTCTCGACATCTCCTCGGCAAGTTTTCGGAGTTCTCCAGGGCAGAAACTGTCGCAACAGTGAAGGTAAGACTCTTGGACGAGGCACCTCAGGCGGCCATTTTGAAAACTCGCGCTTTCGCGAAATCACATTTTCACCTTGACGTTTCCGTCGAAAAATCTCGCCTCTACCTTCTCGCGCGCTTCTTTTGAAAATCGACATCACCGGTCGTTAATAATCCTGTGAAGCGTCTCTTTTTGCAAAATCTCTCCACAAATACAAGGTATCGTTTACGCCCACGCTTCCGCCGCGGAAGTTCGGCTGATCTTTCGTTCTAAAAAGAACCGGCGAGGTGAAAATTCCTCTATAGTGAAAATAAACGCGAGTTGAAACCACGGGGCGATAATTCACGGTTTCGAGGGGCGTAAGAATGAGAATAACGTCGAGATTACGTATCGAATCGTCGATCATATCGAACGATCTCGACTTCGACTGGACAACTTTTAATTCGAAGGACCTCGTTGATAATAAAAATGTTGTCGTTAGCGTAGACCGCGCCAAGAGGGATTGAAGCTTTCTCTTATAGGAATAACCAATAGAGCAAGCGGTGATTTATCCAATCGGCACATATCGAGCGAGGTTTTTCAATGGTTTAAATTCCAATTGGGTCGCAATTAGTTGGTCCCCGTTGCGCGCGAAATCGCTCCCATTTCGCGCGGTCGTCAAGCGACGATTGCATTCGCGTCGTTTTTCAACCTGCGTCGTAAACCCTAAGATAGCATTGTGGGCCATTAATCGGGTCGCGATATAAACGCTCGCTCGAGTCGACCGAACGTTAATGCGCGCAGCGCCAATATTTGCCAGAGGAAGACGGCCAGTCCTCGAAGCATGTCCCCGTTTGAGAATCCTCCTCCGTCTCTTTGACGGTGTTCCCCAGACCATGCAAACTTGACAATTTCCACAATATTCTTGACAAGACAATTGAAATACAGAAAAAAAACGATAGAAAAGGAAAACAAGAAACAGCATTCTCTTTTTCACGCCATTAGACAGACTCCACATTGTATCAGAAAAATGTTCTCCAAGCGTATGGGCAAGGCATAATTTCCATTTTATTTCAAAAATTGGACAAAAACGTACGGAGAGCCTTCGAGAATATTCCCGAAACGCGGACATGATTCCCAGCTATAAATGGAAAATACATAATTAAGTAGAGTTGTAATTAACTGCATGAAATTAAATTTCAAAAGCGTGTCGCTAGGTCTCTAAATATTCAAAAATTAAAGGGCTGCCCTCGTCACTTCCTAACCTAATCTGGCCTCGACGCGATAAGGATGTGCTCCGCTATTACGGAACGAAACCCGGCATTCCGTCGTCGCGGTGGAAGGCCTAATCTGCTTGATTAATGAGTTCCTCCGGTTTATGCGAGTACAAGTTTGTAACCAGGGCCGCCCTCCGACCTCGGACTCTCCGCACGCGTCGACATCGCTAGATGCTAATCGATAAGCCGCAAGGAGACTGCGGAAGCGACGCGCCTCGTTCGCCATCGGTGGGGTTTGATGGATCGCTCCTGGCCAGTTTATCAAATTCCATATATATCCACGGAAAGAAACGTCCGACGTACGCAGAGCAGCCTGTTAATCTCCGAGAAATGTTCCCAACGCGGAAACTCGTTGGCGAATAAATTATAGATCCTCCATCAGGCGTCTCTGGCGGCCGCCATATTGGTGCGCTTACTTAGCGCCCCGGAGGTGTGAATAATATTAAATTATTTTGAAATATAGTCCCCAGAAGTACTCTCTCTCTCTCTCTCTCTCTCTCTCTCTCTCTCTCTCTCTCTCTCTC